GATGATTTATCAGTCTAGGATATATTATATTACTTATATATAAATTATAGGTTAGGTATTGATACAAGTAATTAATTTTTATGTATGATTACGGACGAGTTTTTTTTACAGTTATTTGAAGAAAATATTGTGTTGAGTTTTTGTTTTTAATCTTAGATATAAATCACAACAATTTTATGAATTTTCAATTTCATAATTCCGTGCAAATTTTCGTGATTTTGACATATTTTTTAAACATTTGAACTTTAAATGCTTATAACAGAAAATGGTGACTAATGATTTTTGGTTTTTTTTTACTACGATAAGTACAACTTAAAAATTATAATAAACCTTGTATTTAAGTTTAAAGATTTGTTGGATAACCAAATCTTCTTTATAGGCGTTAAAAAAAGAACTTAGAAAATTCGAAAATTTAAACTGTCTATAAATAGCATAAAAAATTTTGAAAATTTAATTGTATTTAGAATTTACAATGATTTTTTGAGTTACAGCAAAATAAAAATTAATGATTTTGTCGAAAAATGATTATGCGTAAAATTTCCCGTTTTTTCGTTACTTTTTTAGGGTTTTTCCTAAAACTTTTGAAAACTATTGGAAACTTTTTACTTTTGACTCCCTCAAGTACCAACTAAATGAATTTTTCTTTTCAAAGAGGGGCTGAAGTAAAAAATCAAAGCATTATTTCTACTCCAAAACATGACGACAGACACAAAAACAAAAAAAAAACATACATCATTGTAAAAACAATACATTCCTCACTTCGTTCAGAATCTAAAATAATTCATATGTGTGTGTAAAAAGTTTTAATACCGAGAATTGTTTTTAAAAAATAACAAACAAACTTACTATGAAGAAATCACATAAAAATAAGTTAAAATTTACCTCTTAATATTCATAAAAATACAAAATTAAAAATTCAATATTTGTGGGAAAAAGTTTAGAGTAAAATATATTTTCTACATCCTTATAACTCAATAGGTAAGAGTGATAAATTATTTAAAAAAATKAAATATATCGATGTATTAAGGTCTAATACTTTTGGCTATTAGTGCCTATAGAACTTATATTAACGAAACCATCAATAGAAAATGGAAAACAATATATATATATATATATATATATATATATACTATCTATGAATGATTTCTTACTAACTTCAAAATTACGGGTCAAAGGTAAAGATAGTTCGCTAACTTAGAAAGCAATTTCTATACACTGACCAGTGACCATTCAGTCGTGAGAACCTGTATCTGACGTGGTTATTTTCATTCGACCGTATAATAATACTACTAGTTATCGAATCTAAATATATATTTATATACATATATAATATAATTAGGTTTACAGTAAGTTTTGTTCGTATTTATTTTTGTAAATACCTATTAGTATTATATAATATCGATAGGTGTAGCCTATCCCTTTAAAATATTTTGACAGTCTACTCTCGTTGTTGTTATATCTAATATCAAATAATATATGTCAATATAATGTAATATTTTATTTCTTGTCTAATAATACTATTTATATTAACTTTTATTATTATTAATAAAAATATTTTCCTAGAATATTAATTATAAAATAAATATTATGTCATTTTGACGTTATCGTACCGACTAGGTTAGGTTTTAGGTATATAATAATAATAATAATACGATATTTTCAGACAAGTATACTACCACAAAATAAAATAAAAATAATAAATATCTTTTGGTCATCTCATGATTAACGTTCAAATCAACAGCAGGTATATTGAAATGTCATAAAAATATCATAGAAATTGAATTTTATAATAAAAAGTCAATATTATTATTTTTACATTCACATGCAAGTACAGTGCATGCATTAAACGTAGGTACATAATATATATAATATATTACATAATATGTAATACAACTGTCATTACAAAAGTATAATTAAATTTCCTACTTCACTGCCAACCGCAAAACATATCATTTAAATATTGTAATACACACTATAATATCACAAAATGTTTTTATCTATTACGGTTGTGCAGTGTTGGGTACCTATATATTTTTTAACTATGCTAAATAATAAAAGATTATTTTGTTCTTGACGATACACAAATGATAATTTTTATACTGTATAAGATATAAAATTTGGACAAATTCGTTTGAAACAGGAATTTGATCAAATTATAATACTATTAAAAGTGATTAAAAATACCAAAATTTTTAATAACTGTAAACTATAGAAACACAAAAAAAGACATAATATATAAAGCATATTTAAAACGAAAAAACTATGAATATTGTTAAGTATATGAGTGTGAGTATACATATTTTATTTTATTTATTTTAAAAACTGTTATCAATCATCAACCACGAGTATGGCAGCACGGAAATAATCATCATAATAATTAATAATAATATCATCAATAGTAAGAAAACATTTTTTTAGAAATAACTAATATGAAAATAATAATAAAATGTTTAGTTATTCCATTTTTGAAACTTATATTTCAGTATGCATACAAAAATTAATATATTTTATTGTTTTATTAGTTAAAGTTAATAATACTACGAAGTAAGTGGTAAACGGAAAATTGGTACGGTTATTGTGTTTTGAACAAAAGAAATTAAATAGGCGGAATATTGGTAGGTACTATAAAATATTTTATTTTCAGTGGTTCAAAAAATTAAATTAAAATAAATATATGTTCACAATTAATAGTAATATGATAGTCAAAAAATGTGTCCGAAATTWAATAATTCATAATAATTCAAAATTAAATATAAATTCATAATAGTTCACAATAATTCACAATAGTTTATAATAGTTCAAAATTAAATAAAAATTCACAATTGTTTCCCTATGGTATTTAAAAAAATGTCCATTGTAATTTCTTTATTTACGTAACTGGTAATAGTTTCATGAAGTTTATATTGAAGTGAAGCATATTTTTTTATCTTTTTTTCGACATTTAAAATTATTAAGTTGTTCATGCCGTATACTTTCAATTCGCATCGTAGATTCATCTTGTTGAATACATTGCAGAACTAACCAAAATGATGGGTTGCTTGTTCCTACGAKCTTATTAAAATAATTATTCCACCCTTTGCAATAGTTATTTGTTCTATCACCACCTTCAATGTGACATCGAATGCATTCCACAAATTGGAGAAAACTTGGGGTACCGTTAGTACCACTGACATAGATGTTGTCAAAGTATTTAGCCACTAACAATAGTTCTATAGGAATTATTGTATACAAATAAGCCATTCTTGATACTTCATTGAGAGCTGGTAAAAACGCTAAAGCATTAATCATACTGCAATTTATTCTGATATTTTTTTTATTTTTATAAACAGAACTTAGACCTAGGTGTTGAATTTTTCGACACATAGACTGACATAAGGGAAAAAACATTCTTTAACCTGCACACTATCACCAAATACATGTTTAGTAGCATTTATAGATCCTATTTCGAAATCCATCACGATATATTTTGGTTTTGGATTGTTTGAAGTTGGAAGACAATTAATAACAACTTGTTGTAAAATAGAGATGCCCGTACTTTTTAACTTATTAGGTAAAAATGCAGACACACAAGTAGATATTTGATTTTTATACTTTCCTCTCGTATAACATAAAGTTGTTGAAATATAGTAGTGTAGCACTTGAATGTTCCATCCATAAACCAAGTTTCCGCGCAAGACAAAATATTTAAAGCAAAATTGGAGGCAAAAATCAAAATTCGCGAATCAGCTTGTTTACTATCAAAAATCAAAAATTGCTTAGGTTCAGCACCCATCGTAGTTGTCCACTCTTCGGGAAGACAAAAATTTGCATTTAACGGTTCATCGGGGAATTTTCTATATCGGTAATTTCGTATGTTACGTTTTATGGAAGACAAATTTCCCAGTGTTACCACTGTATCTTCTAAAACCATGCAATATTTAAAAAAATTAAAAATAATAATATTTATTTAATAATAAAAATAATCATCTAACCAGAAATATTTTGCATGATGGATGAAACCATCTGACTTGGAGTTTCTCGTGTGTCTAAGGCTTTTTTTTTATATTATGTTTAATAACAATTATTTCGTACATTTTATCATTTGAAGTGTGATTATAAGGCACTATATCTGAATAGTTTATATACTGAAATAAAATTAATGTTTTCACCTCTTATAATACATTACAATACAATAGATACAATAATATAAATTATTACTAATTTAAAACTTACGGGTTTAATTAAATTCGTTGTAATTTTTCCMGGACATTTTAATGTTGTATTTTGTGAACATTTCCACCTAATAGTATTATTATTTTTTCTTAAAATTATATACGAATAATTCTTGTACGGCATTAGTTCATTTCCCTTTTCAGTTTTAAAACTTTCCATTATAACAAAAATTAAAATTGAAAATTGTGGACACGTGGCAATAAGTTGAACGTTGCAGTTGTACTAGTATAGGTCGCATGAAACCTATACAATATCTTTATTCATCGTTATCGATATTGTCATTTGCCGTTGTAGATTAGATTAATACTTCCCTACAATTTCATGCAGTACTTATCTAATGTGTAGATGCTTTATGATTGTATTTCATAGTTTAAAAAATCCTGGTTTTTAACGACCGTGCCAATATTCCACGTTCAAAACAACCGTACCAATTTTCTGACTATCGAAGTAAGTTAGTGCATACCCCCAGGGGGGGGGGTACTTTAATTAGTATTACGGGTTTGGGGAACCCGGAGCCCAGAGATCCTCGCTTCTAGATAAGAAGGTTGATCGTTGGACTGACAACTCAACATCATATAACAAAAACTTTGTCAAGAAACTTCTCACCAAGAACCCTCGTACATCTATCGATAACTCGGAAAACAGACAAGGAAAACGGACTGGCAAACCTGGATTTTTAAAATTCAGAACMTGTAATATAAGAACTTAATATAAACCTGGAGCACTACAAAATATAATTCAGGCAACCAATAGCTATAGGCCTGATGTAGGTAATAGCACTTCAAGAGATGAGATGGGCAGGAACTAGCAACGTAAAGTCAGACAATTTAACCTTATTTTATAGTGGACCAAACAATGGGAAGCATGAAAATGGTGTAGATTATGTTATAAAAGATTCACTAATAAACCAAGTGAAAAAGTTTGAACCAGTCAATGATAGACTTTGTCATCTTACTATAATTGGTAAAATTTTCGATATTGTGTTGATAAACTGTTATGCTCCAACGGAATCAGTGGATGAAGATCTAAAAGATGCCTTTTATGAAACCCTAGAGAGAATTTTCAATTGTATACCCGCATATTATATAAAAATCGTACTAGGAGACATGAACACGCAAGTTGGAAGATAAAGAATATTTAAAAAAAACGGTAAAGTATTTACATTTTATACCGAAACTTATTTTAAATAAACATTTTATTATGAAATTTAATTGTTTTCACCACTTACAGGGACACAAGGTGATCCATTTAAATGGGCACACTAATTATCTCGAAAAGTATTAACTTTTTTTGAATTTTCTTTTTAAACATTTTTAGGTTAATATTTTTCTAAAACCATATAATAATATTTTAATTTTTTTTTCAACCTTATATTTATTGGTGAAACCTTTATCAGCTTTTAATTTTTAAATGGTAAAATATAGGTAATTAAAATACCATGAATTAATAAAACTATGTTTTCATATATTTTTGTGTTAACATTTTTATTTTCTGTTGATTAGTTTGTGAGATACAGCTCCTCAAAGTATTGGTGATTTTTACTATTTTTTCAATAATTGTTACTGATATTGTTAGCGATATCGAATTTATCACTAGCTACTGCTCTTAACAATTATTGAAAATATAATAAAAACCACAAATACTTTGAAGAACTGGCTGTACTCAAAAACGAATCAACAGAAAATATAAATGTTAACACTTAAATACATGAAAAAATAGTTTTATTAATTCATGATATTTTAATTATATAATGTTACCATTTAAAAATCAAAAGTTGATATTGGGTTCACCAATAAATATAAGGTTGAAAAAAAAATTTAAATATTATACGGTTTTAGAAAAACATTAACCTAAAGATTTAAAAAAAAAAAATTTAAAAAAGATAATAATTTTCGAGATAATTAGTGTACCCACTTAAATGGATCACCTTGTGTCCCTGTATATGGTGAAAATAATTAAATTTCATAGTAAAAAGTTTATTTAAAATACGTTTCGGTATAAAATGTAAATACTTTACACAAATATTTAGTACAATGGATTGTTCACATGCAAACAACAACAAGTATTGTTGGAAACACAATTACATAGATATAATATCAGCTATCAATTTAAACACAACGTACACCGTATACGCATTTGTTTTCCAATTTTAAATATTATAGGTATGCATTAAATAATTAATAGTTAATTCAATTTCCATAAATTATTCGAGGAACAGTGTGTATAAACAAGAAATCAATGATTAAATAAAGATAATAATAATTTTTGTTGTGGCTTGGCGAGGCACGATTGCTGCAATTAGTTACACTACAATTCAACTAGATGGTACGTGATTTAAAGTACGTACCTCCTGCAGTCACAAGTTCCTGGATGGGTGACCACCCGGGTTCTTAGTGACAAAAACCTTCCACCTATACATTTCAAACGTGTTGCCAATCTACCATACCAACCATACTAACCCCTTCTGTTACTCTAACACTAACTAATGTCCACTAACTTAAATTGCCGAACTCAAGACCAATAAAAAAGTAAAAATAAAAATAATTTTCGTGGAAACAGAATTTTAAAATATCAAAATAATTAAGTACGATTATAAGGTTTAATAGATCGGATTTTAGTTCTAATCAAAAATACAATTACTTATACAGTCAACTCGCAATATAACGAATTAACAAAATTCGATATAACGAAAATCTCGATATAACGAATAAAACTACCGGTCCCTTGAAAATATCGCGGTATAACGAACAAATGCAATGTATTTATGTCTCCTCGATGTAGCGAAGCGTTTTTTATCAAAACTATCGCAATGTAACGAATTTTTATAAATTTGAGCTTTCTATTACGAATTTTTAATTTTAATTAAGATAAGATACATGTCTCTAGTGTATAACTCTATGAAAATTTTATATATTTTTAAGTAGTAGGTTATATATAAGTATGTTGCTATTACCACATAATAGATTACGAAGTTTTTCTGTTGATTATCATGCGATAGTACACTCAAATACAGTATCGCAATTCAGATAAGACTTATGTCGATTAGTGGCTCTACGCAAAATACAATATATTTTATACATATGTATACGAATAATAAAATTGTTAAATAAATATGTACATACATATGTATTTGTATTTTATTRATTTAAGTTTTGAATTTTTGTTTTAAATCTCGTTATAACGAATTCAACTGGTATATTCTCTTGATATAACGAATTTCGATGTAACGAACTTTCGATATAACGAATTTTTCTTCTTTTCTTGGTCCCTTGAAATTCGTTATATCGCGAGTTGACTGTACCTACCTAAAAAGTTGTTGGATTTAATGCATGTTTATTTATTTATTTTAGTTTCATATTATTTTGAAACCTTTTTCGTTATTGGTAATCCTTGACCTCAAAACGTAAGGTGAGCAATACACAGAGCCAAGCAAATGTAGTACTTATAAAAGCTACGGCGGAAAATTTCCGGTTTTCCTTACCTTCACCACACGCCACTACCCAACCAGTAACCACATAATATAGTACCTTCACCGTTTCACTACCCATCTAAGTATTATATTCACGCCTGCATTCGCTTATGAGAGTGTCGTGTCTTTAGTATCTCATTTCGTTTTATAAACACCGTACAACCAAATAATATAATGTGTTAAGCTGTTTCACATCGACAAGTTCGCGAACAGAGAGAAGCATGTCAATGGTGGTGGTAAACATCTCACGCGTCACGTTGATTGATGTGGCTATCAAAAAGGAATATCTTGACGTCGCGGCGGCACCACCACGGCTGGAACTCACCGTATGGATATCTCCACCTATTTAATGTATGTCTCTGACAGCTGTTTCGTGTGTATCATACGTATATAACAATCACTTGTATTAAAACATATACCAAACTAACTCCATCCTTTCGCCACCTGGAGCGGAAGACAGTAGTAGGTAGGCTCCACCTATACTTGTGAGCAATAATATATATTATAGGTAGGTACAAGTTTGGAAACTTTAATTGGGCAAGTTAACCGTGACGTGAAACTATTATTAAACCAACTGCGAAATGATATAGAATATAAGGAGGGGGTAAGATATTTAAATTTACTACACGTAGAGCAAGACAAGCGGGGAAACAATAGTTGCATTGGAACATAACAACGTAATATTATGTGGGTGTGATCCATTTTTAATCATTCTGAGCATAGCGATGAATGTATCTATTGGTTTTATACTTATGAGATTTCTTGTAGCAAATTGGATCTATGGTAAGTAATTTTAGGAGTTCATAATTGAAAACATTCATTAATTTTTAAAAAATAATCAAGAAAAATAAATACTTACTTGTACAAAAGTACACAGGCCAAACTATATCTCTTATTTCGTCCTTTCGTAACTTGTAGGGGTGGGTGGTTGTTAGCCTCATCGATGAGCAACAATTAATTATAGGTACAAGATTGAAAAATTTAATTGGGGAAGTTACCGACGTGGAACTATTATTCAGTTTTATTGCGAAATAGCCACGAAATATAGTACGATAGAATGTAAAGTTTATGAGTAGGCGACTAAGCGTACTACAAAAGAAGCGATGAGGAAATAATAATTAATTACACGTGATCATAACAACATAATAAGTTTTTTGTACCTGTAACAAATACATACAGGAAGGGACCTCTTTAAATTAATTTTTGTTATATTGTTATAATTTAAAATTAAATAAACTTTTTTTTCGTTAGTATCGATAACCAGAGGAGGAACCATGGTGCCAGTACTTCTCCTAAAATTAAATAAACTGTCCCAAGAATCATTTTTATACGGTAAACTGGATACACGTTAAAAATACATCATCGAATCAACGCAGCGATAAAATAAAATTGGATTCATATGAAATTTTTACGCGTGAGATTTTGAGTTTAGATATTTTTTACAATAACAATTATAATATGTAATAGCTGAACCTGTTCACTTCGTAGCCCATTTAAAATTCTACCTTTCTTATAGTTCAAATTGTGTGTTAAATTAGTTTCCTGTGATTATGATAGCAGTATATTTTTATACATTTATATTGATAACGGTTAAAATATATTAAGTAATAACTAATAATCTTACAACAATATTCAATTTAGTTTGTCATTATGTAAATTTATTCGTTTTATCAAGAAAAGTCTGACAATTCAAATATTCAATTAGATAATATATTGGCCAATCACTTTTTAACTTAGACAATATTTTGCCAAAGGTCTAATATATCTCTGTACCACATTTTATCACAATCGGTCTAGCAGTTTAAGAATGCATAAAAGAAAAACAGACAGACAGAAATCCATTTATAGATATACATATATAAATAAAAGTGTTAAATTTGAAAATTCCGAATTCATAACGTTTATCTTTATTTTACTTTATTTTATTCGTATCGTTAAAATATGTTAATCACAAAGATCAAATTACTATTTGACGCATGTCAAAACAACGTGTAAGCATCTAACATCTGGGACCCCAAATAAATTATATTCCCAAAACTAAACCTAGACCCAACTGTTGTTGTAGTAGGTACCAAAAATGAATCCAGGGCTCATAAGTTTTTCATTCTAAGAAAAAAAGTTGATAATAAAGCAATAAGTTCCTCATATTTAATATTAGGTAGTATTAATGTTTTGAATTAATCATTTTTATAAAAACTTCATAATATTCAATATAGGTACAAAAAATTTCTTTTTTTTAATAAGGCATCTGGGACTTTAGCCATTGGATGTATTGAATTAACATACATTTACATTTATATCAAATTAAATAAATTGCGTACTTATACAGAATACAATAGATTAATTATTAAAATAGACAAAAAAAGCATAGTGAAGTATCAAAGTGAGCTATAAATTTGTTTTATGCACCAGGGACTCTAAATATGAAATTGTATTATGCCATTTTTCCGGGCACGTCTCCAAGGGGGGGCCTTAGGGGGCTTGGCCCACTAAGAAATGTCAGTGGCCCCGGACTGGCCCCCTTGATTTTTATTTTTAAATATTATGCATGGTGTGTAATATAATTGTCTCGAGCCGGTTAAATCCTAATTTTATATTATATGGTACTCCATAATATATATAGTAAAGTTAACGATCGTATAACAAAAATTAAATTCCGAA